TACATCTTTTGATATCTGCAGTGTGTCACCACCCCTCAGTACCATGGAGCTGCTCCTTGGTTGTGCATTATTCTGTCTCAGCCCCAGTCCAGACCCATTAAATCAGAATGTGGGGTGGGGATTGGGATTGTTGGAGATCGTCAGGCTCCTCAGGGCATTCTTCTAGCAGGAAGCCTGGGCGCCCCAGGCCCTTATCCCGTATCCTGCACTGAGTTAGATATGCTTCTGGAAATGCCGGAAAATGATGTACTTCCACTGCCCCTCCTCAGGAGCTCACCCTTGGGGCTGAGTTTGTCCTGCTAGGCCATCAGCCAGCCTGCTGGGACTCCCTCTGGAAAGGGCCAAACATTTCTGCTGTCACTATTGCTCGCTGCATTATGTGTTCTCCATAATCTGATGAAATTGGGCAATTGTGAGAGGCTAGGAGCTTCCTTCATTTTCTTTTGTCCGTCACTGATCCATTTGCTGAGGGCCCTTTGTGAGCTGGCCACTGTGGTGTGTGTGGCATGCCTTTGAACTAGTTCAGTTCTGTTAGGAAAGTCTTCTAGCCTTCCAGGAGGCAAGGCTGTGTGTATGTGTGCACCCATGTATGCTGAGACCAGGATTCTGAGTGACAGTATTGGAGAGGGTTGGGGGGAAGGGATGGGAGATGTGGCCCAGAGGTTTTTAATGGTGGGTAGGTGTCTCTTGGGGAGGAGTTGGGTGTTCTTGGCTGAGCAGTGGAGGGGAGGGAGAGACTGGGGGCTCATTCTGAGCTGCTTCTCCGTGGAAGGTCACCTTCAGGTTCTTTCCACTCATTCATCATTTATTAAGTACCTCCTCTCAAGTACTTACATTTCAGACTGTTGACCACTGTTTCAGCCTCAGCTGGAAGGTTTCTGGAAATGGTCTTCTCAGGCTGCCCCCCCAGACTTCTGGAGCCAGGGTCTTGTGGGTGTGGGGCTTAGGACTGTGCTTTAACGCCTCTCAGGACACTCTCACTACTTGTAAGCTCCCAAATGCAGGACTATCCATTTGCATCATGGCTCGTCTTATGATTTGAATATGAAACTCCACCCCACCTCCATAGGCTTGTATTTTGAATGAGTGGCCCACAGCTGGTGGCACCATTTGGGGAGCTTGGAAACTTGGGAGGTAGAGACCAGCCAGAGGAAGTAGGTTACTGAGGACATGCCTTTGAGTCTCCTGCTCTCTCTCTCTCTCTCTCTCCCTCTCTCCCTCCCTCTCTCTACTCTCTCTACTTCCTGTCCTCCCTGAGATGAGAACCTCCTCTATTGCAAGCTCCTGCCACCATGATGCTTGGGGTCAAAACACATGGACCAAGCCCTCTGAAATCATGAACCAAATAAATCCTTCTTCCCTTAGGTTGTTTCTGTCAGGTGTTTGTCACGTGGAGAGAAAAGTCACTAATAAAAAAGCTGGTGCCAGAGAAATGGGGTCGTAGCTATGAGCAAACCTGACTTTCGGAAGTGAGTTGTGGTAGGAACATGGCAATGTTTGCAGTTCAGGCTGGAGAAGCCCTGGATGCTGTGAGCAGAGCTCAGTGGGCAATGCTGGTGGAGCTCCGAAGACCAAAATCCGATAGCAGTGTGGAGGGTAAGGACTGCTCACGAGGCTTCACATGGGAGCAGGATGCTGTCGGGAATTGGACTAGGGGCCCTGCATGTTACATTCTGGCAAAGAATTTGTCTACATTCGGTCCATGTCCTGAAACTCTGAGTGAGGCTGAATTTAAAAGGAAGGGACAAATCAATTTGACAGCATAGCATTCAGACTGTGGCCTGTTTATTGCTGACTGCTCTTAGCCAAGTTTACAGTGAGAATAGGGAGCAAAAAGCAGAACAGAAAGGTCATGGGGAAAAAAAAAAGAAAGCAAAGTAGTTTGGTTTGACTTCAGAGAAGGAGGATGTGGTTGTTAAAGAGACTAACACCACTGAAAAGAGTCCAAGCAAGCCAGGGCCTGGTGGCTCATGGCTTAATCCCAGCTAACTGGAGAGACAGAGATAGGAGAATTGTGGTTTGAAGCCAGCCTGGACAAGAATGTTGAGACCCTATCTCAAAGAACAAACTAAGTGTGGTAGTACATGTCTATAGTACCAGCTACATGGGAGGCATAGGTAGGAGGTTCATGGCCTAAGGCCTGGCTGGGAAAAAGCACAAGGTCCTATTTTAAAAATAAAAAATAAAATAAGTAAAGCAAAAATGGTGGGGATATTACTCAAGCAGTAGAGCAAAAGGCCCTAAGTTCAAAACCCAGAACAAACAAACAAATCCAAGCATTTTGTATCAGGACTGTAGACAAGATGCCCGAGGACATCTCTGGAATTAGCCAGATCTCACCCATTGAAGGCTCCAGGATGTGAAACTCATTTGAAAGACTCCCTTGAGAAGACTGAAAAGAGAGACCCCTGGCTGGGATGCCTGCTCACCCACGGCTTCACAGAGCCTCCTAGGCAAGTGTCTTCCTGGGTTCAGCTGCCCAGGCACTCAGAGCTGCTGCAGCCATGGTTTAGGGAGTCCAGATGCAGCTCGTGCTGACAGCGGCCTTGGACGAGTCCTGTTGATGCAGGCTTGGCAGAATGTAAGTTCCTGGGTTGTGAGCGCTGTGTGAGTGCAGGATCCCTCAGCCCCCCAGAGTGGATGCATGAAGTGTGAGGATGAACCCGCGGCAGGGGATCCAGGAACATGGGACATCTGCTGAGCAAAGCCACAGGCAGTGAGTGGGGCCAACCCACGTGGGCTGCACATGGCAAGGCCATGGGGTGGGGCTGCCCAAGCCCTGGGAGCTCACATTGTGACAGCGCGTCTCAACTGACAGACATGGAGTTGTGGGATTTAGTGTTGGCCTGCTAGGTTTCCATGCTGTTCTAGTCCCATCCTTCCTTGCTGTTCTCACACTCTTCCCTGTTGGAATGGGGATGTTTACTCTGGGCCCTTGCATGTTAGAAGTGTGTGACCTGTTCTCGGGGCTCATGACTAAGAGTTTGTCTTGAGTCTCAGAGGAAGCTTTGAACTTGGGCTGTCGAACACTGTTGGAACTGTGAGGACTTTGGGGACTCTGGGAGATGGCCAGCTGCATTTTGCATTACGAGATGGTCTTGAGCCCCGGGGCCGGGGTGCAGTTTTGAATTTGAAATGCCTGTCATTTGGGAGGTTGTGGAAACTTTGGGAAGTGGGGCCTACAGGGAGGAAGTGGGTCACTGGGGGTGTGCCTCTCTCTCTCTCTCTCTCTCTCCTTCCTGTCTGTCATAAGGTAAGAACCTCCTCTTTTACATGCTCCCACACCACGATGCTCTGCCTAGCCATGGGGGACCAAGCAACCCTGGACTGAACCTCTAAAATCTTGGGTCAAAATAAATCCTTCCCCCTTTAAGTTGTTTGTGTCAGGTATTTGGTCACAGCAATTAGAGAAGTCACCGATACAGATGTCTCCATATACATCTGTGACTGTTATGCCCCAGTCCCTGTTAGGGACTGGTAATGTGGGGGCAATGCTCCATGGTCGGTTGACTTGGAGGGGTCAGTGGGGTGTGCAGGTAAAGAGAACCAGCAGGACACTAGATACATACCTGTGTCTTAGGAGAAAAGTCCAGGCTATGAAGGTCTCTTTGGAAGTCAGTAGTGGACAGGAGGAATGATTAGACTGCCAAATGCACAGAAAGCAACTCCCAGGACCCACGCCATAGTCAAGGAGGGAGGAGGTGGCCTGGTTGACCTGAAGCCAGGTGTGCTGATGACTCTGGCCTGGCACTGAGGTGACAAGTGGGCATTCTGCAGACACTGATCACCAGGACAAGGGTGGGAATCGTCTGTGGCACTGACACTCTAAGGGACCATTGTTCTTGGTGCTTTTCTTAGGATGGTTTCATTTGTAGGGCAATGTTGGGGCCTGATGGCACCACCAGGCCAGACCTGATGGCAGTGGGCAGGGAAGACCCTCATTGGCAGTGAGGGTGGGGCTCACCCAGGTGTGGGGAGCTGCCCACCTTTGAATGATGCTCCTGCTTGCATAGAGTTGGGCCTGTCTGGGCAGTGCTGTGGAACTTGATCTGGATTTATTTTTAGAGAGGAAATTTAGAGTGGGTCTGCCTCCTGTGGTTTTTGGAAGCTATGTCTGGTCATGAAATGGTTAATATAAATCTAAGCAAAGGTCAGCTTGAATTGATCCATTTGTGGGCCAAAGTCTTGTACTAGAAAAAAAACAGACCTTTTCTGGGGGAAAAGGAAATGCTTACAATCATTAGCTTCCTAGCTGGAAAATTCTTTGTGATCTGGGAGAGCTTAGAAAAATACTTGGTGTAGTCCCCCAGTATCAGAGTAGCCCTCCCAGTGGCTCATGGCCTGCTGCCACCTTACCATTCCTGACATTTGTCCAGGGGATTTGGATTCTGACTGGTCACCAGGTTATCTGTTCAGACCAAAGTGCAGGTGGCACCTGGTGCTCTCCTGAGGTTCCACTGCAGGCACCTCCCAGCCTGTGTGCTGTCCTCCTTGGGTGTCCTCGAGCTGACTGCCCACTTGTTACTTGCTGGATGGTCTCTGGCCTCAGCTCATAGCCTCTTGAGGAGGTAGGTCTTTGCACCTTTGCTGCAGGGCGGTGGCCTGGTTGTGCTTGTGTGTGTTGTGGTAGATATTGGTGAAGCCTGGCCATAGGCTACCTCCTTGGGGATGGGCTGTGTCTTTTGTCTCTTGCTTGTCAGTAGAAAGTGCAAGTACTTGTGAGGGACCAAAGGGGGCATGGAGTCCTGCAGACCATCGCTGCCACTGGGAAAGAGCCAGTCCCTTCCTACTACAGCACACCTGACTGTAGTGGCCACTTTTACTGGGGGACAACCTAGTCCCTGTGGTGTCCCTGCTCTTTGCTGTTTCCTGTGGCAAGTGAAATATTTTTTCTCTTCC